AAGCACTTGTCCTCCTGCTTTTCCTCCTTAGGTTATCATCAGGTAAGAGGCTGTTCTTAATGCTGTCAAAGGGTGAGAATTGTTTGGTTTGATTGGATTCTGTCACCAAAAAGAAAAAACTGAGGAAGAAAAAGAAGGAAGCAAAAAACGCCAATGCAATTCAAAGGAGACATGAACACACACCATGCATATACAAGAACAAAAAAATACAATGAAATATACAGTCAGCTATAAAATGTATACTACAGCATTATGCATTACAAGAGCCACATATCTTTTAAAGTTTCAGAATATATAATGTGCCAAAAATATGAAAGTAACTACTCATTATGCGGAATGACCAGTTTTAAAGTAATGCAAGTTATATAATATTAGATTAGAATTATTCATTAAAGTTCACATCACTTTTATATTGCCGTTGATAAAGGTGGAGCAAAATTTATTTCCTTTGTATGTTGGTGGGTAGCTTGTGAATTCCCCCCTGACGATCAGTGAGGTCTTATGATAATACACCATAGTGATTATATTCTGTATTGGTAACCTAAAAATGCAAAGTAACAAAGGTTATCAAACATATTTGGAGTCAGTACAATATTCACCTCTGAACTGTAGTATAACAAGTGTACAAAGTAGGATAAAATGAAAATACTCAAGTATACTACAAGCACCTCAAAATTGTACTTGACACAAACGTGTAGAAAATGTAGCCTACTTTCCACAACAGTCCATTACTTTAAAATGAAACATGGCACAGGACAAATCACTGAAAGATAATCTGATTTATTTCCCCAGTGGTCCTGGCTGCCACAAATTATAACAGCACAACATTGCTTCTTTCCTTGTAATAATTTTAGAAAGTGCGCATGCAAATATTGAATGTATACTAACATTTGAAATACTTTGGCACATTTCTTTCTGTTTAATACACTGACATGTACTGACTTAGACAAAACTGACCCATCTTCCTTCACACAAAATCACAAGACTGATAAGCTCCAAGAAACTAGGATGTGGTTAAGAACTGTCCTCACATAATAGTCACATCCTTTGCTGACAGCAAGAAACTCATATATGCTTTGGCTGGGTTATTGTTTTTGAATCTTTCTGGGAACACTGTTATTTACAGCAGGTTAAAACACTGCTGCAGAAATCTTAACCCGAGCCAAGAGGACAGACTGTTTCATTCCAGTTCCTAAATGTTCTCACTGGCTATACCTGTGTCTTTTAAATTGTTTTTAACATGCTTCTTTTTAGTTTCAGGCTTACTGTTTTCGTTTCCTATGAGAAACAATCATTATATGAATCTATTACTATTATTATTAGTCAGTCATAATCATGCACACATGACTAAGTAAAAGGTACAATTACTAGTGTCAGCATAAATGTTAAACCCCCAAATTGAAGGAATTCTCAGACGTGTTGACAGCACTAAATCATACATTTACATTTCATTGAATTACTAAATTAAAATCATTTTAGTCTCAGGCAAAAAAACTAAACAAAACAACAACAAAACAAAAAAATCTTACTTCCAGTCATGTGCATCTTTGGAGCCCATGTTTCTTATTAACTATCAAAAGTGTTGAAGATGAATATGTTTCAAATTAATCAGGGCTATTTGAAAATGAAGACTTATTTGATACATTATTTGACTTTGATTTGTGGAATGGTGAAAGTAACAGGAAAAAACTGCCACATATCAAATAAGTGCAGGTGAAAACTGTTACCTAGTCAGAGGACTAGGACTATTGATACTGTATGTAGATTGACAGCAATATAGTCCAGTCAGTGTGTGCAAGCACTCAAACACTGAGGACGTTGGTGTTCCCTTAGTACGGTTTTAAAATATTTTTAGAGGCTCACAAGCCTGTTCGTGTAAGGTTTACACATTGAAACCAAGTAAAATTTGTGATATTCTTTTGCAGGTGTGTATGCCCTGAGATCTGAAGAGAAATTTGTCAAGGCAGGAGACATGGTGGTGCTGCAGTGCCCTTACCCCAGCCAGGAGATAGCTCTGACCAACAACATGTCATCAGCTGATCAGAGGCAGATGGGTGTGCTGGTTCATGAGAGGAGCCTGGTGATTCTCAGTGCAACTGTAAACCATCAGGGGAATTACTTATGTTCTCTGAGGTAAACTCTAGTCAGTCAGACAACAAGCCTGAAGTTGTTTTATATCCAAATATCTTAAAATTAAGTTCAAGGTCAAAGGTCAAGGTCAAAGTGTTTGTCGTATGCACAGTTAGGAAATGTGTTTCCCTGTACAATGAAATTCTTACTTTGCTGTCCACATGAATACCACATAATACAAGTGAAATATAAAGTAGATGAGTAATAACACAAATCTAAATAGGCAGTAAATTCACAAATCTAAGGCACTTTAAAGCAGCAAGTTTAGGAAGCAAATAAAAATACAACAAGAACACAATATAATACAGAGAGAATATATGCTACATGTTTCCTTGTCATGCAGGAGAAATTTGCACTAGATATCTGTTCTGTCTGGTACAATAAAGTTAAAAGAGCAGCATTGTGTCTTTTCAAAAACCATGTCGCTGCTATTTATGATACTCTAGGGCTCACTGACATGCAGAAGGACACATTGAAATGCATGGAGGAGAAAGGTGAATTTGTGGATGCACAGGGTTTACAGCATATAAACTTTTTCTATTTTTATTTGTAAGATTACAGCACTGAATGACTTTATACATGGCAAGCTAGTAATGTCAGACAATAACCACATCCCATGTCGGGATGCCACATTTGAAGTTTGTATTTTAAGACCAAACACATCCTGATGGGTTAATAAAGCTGTCCTATTTCAGTGTGTGTGTGTGTGTGTGTGTGTGTGTGTGTGTGTGTGTGTGTGTGTGTGTGTGTGTGTGTGTTTTCCAAATGACATTGGCTCACATTCAAAGTGAGCGGTTATAATTCAAATGTAAACCGAAACTTTCGTATCTACTGTATATAAAATGTTTTCTTTGATGGCGACAGGAATGCTAGCAGCCAGTTCTGGTTCAGGCTGACAGTCTACACAGCGCAGTCCAGAGAGTATGACAAGAGGACCAAGCATCCTGTGACATGTTACACAAATGAGTCCTGCAAAATGCATTGCCCTGATGTAAATATCCCAGCTGCAAATATCCTGAATATTACAAACAATGGCTTTATATGGCACAAGGTAATTTTACACAGCAGATTCTGAGTGATTTGACTGTTGAATAAGAATCTCCATTCATGAGAGTATGAAGAGAGTCTTGCATATTGAATTGCCCTGACACAAATATCTCTACTATAAATGTTATCAGTATCAGCATTACCCCTGTTTGGCACATGGTGAAAGAGATTTGGTTCTATAAATAGGCCATAAAGCTACAAAGACATCAGGATTTACTTTTTTCAAAGCACACTATAGATTTTTGGGGAATTGGACTTTGTTTTTATGGCTGGTTTTATTTGACTTCATAACTAAAAATTCAACCTTCCATCTCACAAATAGTCAAATACTTCTCAAGTGTGGAAATGACACAGTCCAGAGAGTTTGACGAGGGGGACATGTACTCTGTGACATGTTACACACATGAGTCCTGCACAATGCATTGCCCTGATGTAAATATCCCGCCTGGAAATATCCTGAATATTACCAACAATGGCTTTATATGGCACAAGGTAATTTTACACAGCAGGCTCTGAGTGATTTGACTGTTAAATAAGAATCTCCACCATATATCATTCATTATTTCTTTTGAACAAATTTGTAATGTTGAAATGTTCATTGTACATTTGGGAATGAAATGGGGTTTTCATTCCTTTCATGATTAATTTTCCATCTTGTAGGAGGGTGAATCACTGCCAAAATCCAGTTACTTCTCAAGTGTGGAAATGACGGACCATGGTGTCTACACCTGCACCAGATCTTACCTGTATCGCGGTCAAATGTATAACATGACCTTTACAGTGGAACTTGATGTCAAGCAAAAGGGTACAAAAAAGCTTTTTCAACATTTTATAGAAGTTGCTATATTTAAAAAAAAAAACAGAAAAAAAAGTGTTTTCTTCTTTTTTTGCACAGAACCTGAAAGAACCGCAGTAATCACTTCACCACATGACAGTGATGTATTTGATGTAGATTTGGGTGAGTTTCAATCTTGTGTCATGAGTACACACACTTGGTTACACGCAAACACTATCTTTGGAAATGACTACTTTAAAATGTTGTGTATACTGCTTTTTCTAGGTTCAACAGTGGTGATAGATTGTAAGGCTGTTTTATATTCGGACTTTGATGAGATTTTCTGGCTAAGTGAGGGATCATTTGTTGAAAATAACAGCAGCTTTCTATTTTTCTACAATTTCACGCGGTAAAGACCACACACACACCCACACACACACACCACAAAGGTTGGCCACAGTGGCAAGAAAAAGTATGTGAACCTTTTGCATTAATTTGTCATAAGATGTGATCAGATCGTCATCTAAGTCAAGAGTACTGACAAATATAATGTGCCTAAAATAACAAAAAAAATTCTGATCTTTCATGTCTTTATTGAACACACTTATTCAACATTCAAAATGGTAGTGGAAAAAGTAAGTGAACCCCTGGAATTAATAACTGGTTGACACCAGTAACAGCCTCAACCAGGTGCTTCCTGTAGCTGTTGATCAGACCTGCACATCGTTCAGGAGGAATTTTAGCCCATTCTTCCTGGTAGAACAGTTTTAGATCCGTCATATTCTTTGGATGTCTCATGTGTATGGCTCTCTTCAAGCCATTCAATAGCATCTATTGGGTTGAGCTCTGGGCTCTGACTTGGCCACTCCAAAAGGCGGATTTTGTTTTTCTGAAGCCATTTGGTTGTGGACTTGCTCCAGTGTTTTGGGTCATTGTCCTGTTGCATCACCCAACTTCTACCGAGTTGTATGTAAATCAACAATTCTTGATCATAGATCCTCTGAAAGCTGTTTTTGTCGGGGCATGGCTCACATAAGCACTTTTTTTTGTGCAGAGCAAATTCAAAAGGTTCGAGTGGTTTTTAATCAGTCAAAGTAGCCACACCTCCAAACTCATTTTTTTTAAGACTCCAGGTATGCTAACACCTGACTCCAATTAGCTTTTTTGAGGTCATGAACACAAGGGTTCACATACTTTTTCCACTAGTACTGAGGTTTTTATGGTTGTTTTCAGTAAAGACATGAAAGATTCGAATTTTTTTAAAATTATTTTAGGCATATTATATTTGTCAGTACAGTTGACTTAGATGAAGATCAGATCACATTTTATGACAAACTAATGCCAAAAACCATGAAATTCCAGAGGTTCACATACTTTTTCTTGCCACTGAACGCACGCATAAAATAGTGTGTTTTTCTTAATTTTCCTCCATTAATTTATTTCATTCCCAGGAACAAACATACTGAGGAAACAAAGATGACAGCATCTCTGGTTTTCAAAATAGTGTTAGAAGAGGATCTATTAAAAAATTACACCTGCAAACTGGAATCTATTTCACAAGGCCCAAGCTTTGTTACCATCACTCTGGCTCAGAGAGGTATGCCTTGTTGTATTTTTTAATGTTCTCAACAATAATCAGTTTATTATTTTTGAATAATGAATTCATCTTTGAGTGAAAAAATGTAATATGCTGAAAAAGATGATCAAATAATTCATTCTCTCATAATTTTGACATATTTCACCCACACATTCAAGTGATCTGTCATTTTACTACAATCAGTAAGTGTTTAAATGACTGTTAAGTTTATTCACTCTACAGCTCGCCCTTCTTACATGTCACTGGCTGTTGGCATCATCAGCATCGTGGTGGTCATGACTGTGACACTAGTTTTCTATGTGAAGTTTAAAATTGAGATCACTCTGTTCCTGAGAGACACTCTTGGCTGCCAGAGAAGCTCCGCAGGTGGGAGACCTGTTTCTTTCTTTGGCTCTTTGTTTGATTCAGCTAATAATGTAAGATTAAGATGAACACATTTGGGGGGAGAGTGCAGATAATGTGACAGCAGTGACACAGCTGTTGCTGTTTGTTGTTATTTGCATAGATGGAAAACGCTACGATGCCTTTTTGCTGTATTATAAGAGCGATACAGATGCGGGACTAAATGACTGTGACAGAAAACACCTGGAGAGTGTTTTGGAAGAGTTGTACGGTTACAGTCTTTGTCTTTATGATCGTGACGTCTTACCAGGGAAAGGTATGAGTTTAACAAGTACTTTAAAGAAAACTGCCAAAAAATATTAATTTATAAATGAGTAATCAGAGCTCTGGTTGGTTACAGCTGAAGCAGAAGCAGTGTTAGACTGCATAGAGCAGAGCCGGACGGTGCTTGTGGTTCCCAGCTCTCCAGATTCCGGTCCGGGGTCTGGTCTTCTGACTGCCATCCATGCAGCCCTCGTAGAGCGACAGACTCGCTTGATTTTCATCAGAACTGAAAGAATGAAAGTGTCAACATCAGGGTCATTACCAGAGGCCCTACAACTCCTGAGCAAGGCTGGAGATTGTGTCACCTGGAAGGGCCTCAGCTCCACGCAGCCCTCCTCCTCCTTCTTCAAGAAGCTATGCTATTACCTACCTGCTCCACAGTGTGAAGAAAAATTGAGGCTTTTACCTCAGAAAATCCAGGACGTTACCTCCTGATAAAATATTTATCCAAGTCAGAATTAACAGTCAGTAGATTTATTTTATGTATTCTACATACATCATATATAAAAAGTACATTTTAGACAAAGAATTTTACTGGTACACTGAAAATGATGATCAGCAGAATATATTCTGTATTAATGAAGAATTCATACTGAGCTTAACTGATTGTTAAATATTTAACTGGTGTTTTAATTTTTCTACTTAACAGCTTATATTCTTGTCTTACCCAATATGCTTCTTTTTTCAAGTATGACAGCTGGCACGAGCAACTTTTCCTGTCAGTGGGAAAGACCAGTAATGGTTTATAAAAGTAATGTAAAATAGCTATTTGTTATTAAATTAGCCCTTTCATTATCCCTTCTGCCTGTACACTGTTAATACAAACACAATCAGAATGGTCCACGTAGTGCATTCTCATTATAATTGCATTTCTTAATGGGTCATGAATTAAAAATTATATATTTCAGTGGTATGACTGGATCTTCCTAATTCATTATGTATTATATATTCAGCTGATTTTTTTTTTGTATTAAAAACATTCCTTTCAAATTTGCCTTGGGAATCTTTAAGGTACTATTTTAACTATAGTATGTCTCCTGTTGTCAATGTAGAATTTTGTATTTTTCTGCTTCAAAGCATGACAGAGATTTTGTTTACTGTTTCCTTTCACAGGATAGTTAATTATGCCACAACACCTCTACAAAATGCTCTTCTGTTTTTCACATAGGAAGTGGCTAACAACTAACAGGAACACATAGAATTTGAGCAGTTTCTAGTGAAACTCAAACTGACAGGAAATTATGTTAACATCTACTACGACATCTATATGTCCTATGAGAATGTTGTATTGCTAGAGTTATCGCACAAGAAAAGTGTAGCAAACATTTCCGATTATATGGATGAAATACCAAAAACTCTAGATCTGGCTGTGCATGAGTAAAGATGAGGAAAAAAATGTTTAAATGTAAAGAAGACTGAAATCAGCAAATGATTTTTACAGATTTAGATAAACAAGATGCAAACTGGATACTTCCTGATTTTTTTTGTATTACCCATTTTCTTGGAGGGATGCTGCGTGGGAAACAAGCAAAAGAAAAGAACAGGTATTTATTTTAAACACAAACTGCCTTTCAGCTGTAGTATTACAGCTGAAAAACTGGATTGTGTTTAGGAAACATACACACAGTTATTAAAGATATTTCCTTTTTTTCAGACTATATAAATACAATATGACTGCACTAACTGTAAAACTCAGGTCTCCAGGAGAATACTACACATCTGCACTACAGAGCTGTGGAGGGGGAAATGTTTATGATGCCATGCATAAAATCTATGAAGGGGCACATGAAGGTGGCATGGTCCAGGACTGCAGAAGGTGAAGGAGGAACTGAAGGCCCATCCTTTGACTGTGACAAAGTGTTCTCAGCTGAAATAAAACATTCTGGGACTTACACAGACCCATCAGGGTAAATAATCATGTTTCTTATTCTTAGCATTACCTCTGCTCTATTCAGTGCTTTATTTATATTTAAAACAATGGCGTGAATCTTTTCCTTTTTTAAAATATACCTCTGCTCTATTCAGTGCTTTATTTATATTTAAAACAATGGAGTGAATCTTTTCCTTTTTTAAAATATAAGTTTACAGTATTTTCATATTTTTTATTTGCTTTAAAATAACACTTACAGGCCCATTTGTACCTTGAAACTGTTACGTTCACTAATAGTCCCCAAGAGCCGGGGTCTGTCGGAGGTTTCTTCTGTGTATAAAGGGGTTTTACCTCCCCGCTGTTGCCAAGTGCTTACTCAAAGTGGGTTTGTTGGGTTTTTCCTCTATAATAATAATAATGATAGTAAGCGCTAGACCTTATGAGGTTTCTTCTGTGTATAAAGGGGTTTTACCTCCCCGCTGTTGCCAAGTGCTTACTCAAAGTGGGTTTGTTGGGTTTTTCCTCTATAATAATAATAATGATAGTAAGCGCTAGACCTTATTTTGCAAAGTGTCCTGAGATGACTTTTGTTGTGATTAGGTGTTATACAAATAAAATTGAATAGAACTGAATTGAACTGTGTATTTTGACTAACTTAGCCCGGTCAAGTTTCTTGCTATAGCTGAGCTTTTAGCGTAACTTTACAAACACAAATTTTATTAAACCTCCCATTTTAAATGTTAACAAATAATTAATAATGATAAATTGCATTAAAAACACTCCCAGCCAACCCCAAAAGACATTTATTTAACAAACATTTAAAAACTCTGTTCATGGCTAATATACATTGCCTAAAGTCATTAGTAACAATTTTAAAAAATGTTTTCTGTATACTAAACGGTAAATTATAATATTTGTGTGTGTAGACCACGCGTGACTGAGTAAATGCTCAGATGTTTGGGTTTCTGCTGCCCAGGGGCAGCAAGTTGTTCTTCTATCTGCAGGTGGTACAGAAAGAACGTCTGGGATGTTTTCATCCTGATGAGAGCTGGGGAATGCTGGTCAATGGCGCAGGTGGGGAGATTCCCTGTCCGGGTCGCAACTGCAGTGACAACACAGATGTCAGATGGTACAAGGTGAACTACACACACAAACAGGATTATTCATTTCATAACAGAAATATCTAAATCACAGCAAAATTTCAGAGAAGTGCTTTGTTACAGGGTAACAGAGTTGTGTCTGAGCAGCGTCGGGCCTCCTGTGAACAGAACGGGCTGTTGCATCTCTGCCAAGTTGGTGAACCTGATACTGGTGTATATTTCTGTGACAGAAAAATAATTGAGCAAGGAATCATGTGGACTTTCAGGAGAGCTGTTAATATCAGAGTCATACGTAAGTGCTCTGTGTGTGTGTGTGTGTGTGTGTGTGTGTGTGTATCTGTGTGTGCAAGGAGACCTTAGAAAGTATTTTCAACTTAAAGATACCCTAGTCACTTGGTACCTGTAAAACATCTGCATGCATTGTCATGGTGTACATGCTAGCACAAGTTGATAGTCCATAATGAGGTAATTTCCCATGTCCAAATAGCACATTACAAACCAAGCTACCGTCCCAGAATTGTGGTCCCTGAAAGCAACATGGCAGAGGAGGTGGAGCTCGGTAAGTCTATTCAGATGTGCTATGGTATAATTAGTTGGAATCTACAGTTTCAAGTCTGATGAATGGTGAATTCCAAATAGCTGTCACCCAAAAGTCAGCACTGTTGTTGTTATAACCAATTTAATAACTATCAAAAAAGATTAGGGTTCTTGTTGTTAATCACTTATTGTATAGTAAGTTTTATTTTTGTTACAATACTGTATGTATTGAGTGATTTGGCTCTAGGGTGCTTTTCACTATCAAACAGCATTCTAATGATGACTTGTTGGTTATTAATGCACAAAACGTTGCTGTAATTTAAACTTCTGTATCTGAAACAGCTCTGATAAAGACATGATGTACATGAAGTCATCTTTTAGTGACTTGTTCATGCATCTTCCAAACTGTTTTGAAAACATTTGTTATGACTGTTAATAGACATTAAGGGTTAGATTTTAATGGTCATATTTTGCACTCATTCTAGGTCAGTCTCACACGCTGATGTGTAAGGTGTATTTTCCTTTTGAGATAAATGTTTCAGCAGTGGTGCGGTGGTACATGAACTATGGTGGCAACATGGAGAACATGACTCGACTCCACATGGAGAAGCCACAGTGAGTCGCTGATGTTTGCCATTGCCAGAAAGTAAAAGGCTTTCATTATGCAGTGCCAGTTGCGATTCAGATGGGCTTGTATGATAAGTTTTCATTAGGATGCAAAACAGCTGAAACTCATTCTCTGATTCAGACAGAAAACACTGATACTTGAAGAAACCGAGGTCATACAGAGTGCCATCATAAAAGAGGTGACATCACAACACTTGAACCACACATATACTTGCATCGCCAGTAATACTGTTGGAAACAGCGCAGTTACCATCAAGCTCAAGAAGAAAATTAAGGGTACTATTATTATTATTTTTCTGTCACTGCCATACTTTTTTTCCTGCTAAATGTGATCATAACATTGTTACATTACAGTTCAAATAACTCTATATGAAACATCACAATTGAATGATAACTCTGTGAACTATCTAATAAAATCAAGAGGAAAGTCTCTCCAGGTTTTGAACCAGGTGTGTTAACCACCTGAAAGGGCAGATATACACCACAGGAGTACAAGTACTGCTGTTGTTGAGCAACTGAGGCCAGTTATGGAGAAGTACTCAAATGTTTTGCTTAAGTAAAAGTAACAATATAACACCAAAATAATACTCTGTTACAAGTAAAGGTCCTGCATTCAAAATCTCACTTAAGTAGAAGTGCAAAAGTATTGATATCAGAATATATTTAAAGTATATTAAAAGTAAAAGTACTCATTATGCAGAATAGTACATTTCACATTAATATGTTAAATTATTGGATTACAGTTATCGACACATTATTGTGTACATCACAATAACGCTGCAGCTGGTAAAACGTGGGGCTCATTTTACCTTTTATGTTTATAAATTGAAGTACTGTTGGGTATTCTGTGAATTTCCCACCAGGGATCAATAAAGTCAGATAACTGTATTGTATAGTTCATTTGATTCTGAAAAGTAACTAAATGTATTTGCTTATAAAATGTAGTGCAATCAAAGTATGAAGAAGCAGAAAATGAAATTACTCAAGTAAAATACTGTATAGATATGTCAAAACTGGACTTAAGTAGAGTAAATGTGCTTAGTTACTTTCCACCACTGACTGAGGCAAGCTGTAACAATGCAACCAAAACAGCGCTGTGATCTTGCAGGCTGCCAGAACCCCTATGGAAAAATTTTAGCATCATTGCTCAAACTGAAAAAGTTCCATCCAATAAGGTCAAAAATTATATCAACCATCCACTGAAGTGAGTGGTGACCCTTTCCAATGACTCATATCAAAAGTGAGAATGATTCATTTGGTTTCATTATGTGTAGTCAACATTTAAAGTTGTACTAAAAAATATTTTATATTTATAGGGGATTAAATGACAATGTTTAATTTAATCATTGGTTTATCACTACACCCTGCAGCTCTTTGCAGCTCTACACTGCATTTTAGTGTCCAGCTAAATGTTTTGGTTTTGTAACATAATGTTACTGGCCAGTTCATTCTCAGCTCTGTTAGCAAAAAGCTCAGATACATCTACAGTACTCTACCTAGCCATCACCACATGGCATACAGGCAACGTTAGCAGCTAGCTAGTGAAGAAGTGGTGGAGGTGGAGGCAAAGTTAAATGGAGAGTCACTATTGGAATAACATTCATCAGGCTGGCACAGCCACTGCTACAAATGAATGCTAATGCTGCTTTGTCTGTCCTGGATAATACAACTTTTTGCTTACATGTCTGTCATATTGACTTTATAATGTAATAAAATGTCAATTTTGTTTACACCTTTTCTTTTCACTGCACCCGAGTCAATTACTGGCACGTTTAAGACATAACAGCTACAATCTAATAAATATATTTTGGACTTGTTTTCAGTAAAATGGCCCTCATTGGTTGGGTATCCCATTGTATCTTTGCTGGTGCTTGCTGGGCTGGGAATCGTTTTACATGTGAAATGGCTGGAACTACAGCTCATCTACAGATCCCACATCCATTGTGGAAAACGTGATAGAGGTCAGAAACAAGACACTCATACATATATACAGTACACACAATGTAAAATGAAAACCCAAAGGCAAAATGCATACCCTGGCATCCTGACCCAACAGCTGCTCCTCTTCACAGGGTGTGAAAAGATGTTAATACCCTAACCCAGTGCATGTGCTTGAAAAGTATAGCAAACACACTATATGATACTGTACTCTGCCCTCACTCTACTGCAGAAACAAAAATCTAAGTCAAAAACACATTTTAGAGACCAAGTTTCAACATTGCCTTTCATATCTACCAATACCAATCAGAAGACAAAGAGTTCGATGTGTTTCTGTCATACGTGTGGAGCCATCCATCAGCAGAGGCCGACGGATGTGTGAGCCTTTCTCCCCAGTCAGGACCCGACACTGACGAGGAAGGTAAGCCAACATGTTCAGTGCATGATATCGGTTTCTGGATTTCATTTTCATGTACCTACACTGGTGAAGTAAATTAACAGTTACTTTTATCAACAGCTTGTCTCTCCAGCATGAACCCTTTGAATACAAAGGAGGGTCAATCCACCCAGACCCCACTAGAAGTGCTGCTTCCCCGGGTGTTAGAGGAGCGGTGGGGGTATCACCTATGTCTGCTGGAGAGGGACGTGCTTCCTGGAGGAGGTCAGAGGATCAACTGTGTGTCTGTCTATGTACAGTGTGTGTTGACGACAAAGAATCCTTATTGTTTCCATTTTGTATTGCAGCATATACAAATGATGTGGTCCTTGCAATACAGAGAAGCCGAATGCTTATCTGCCTGCTGTCAGCTGACTACCTGTGCAACAGCAATGCTGTGTTTGTACTAGAATCAGGAGTCCAGGTAGGCCTGGTAGACTATGTTCAAGTTGTGTTGGAGTTATCCTAATTACAAGTTTCTCACTTGTAAAGCACATTCAACATCTAAATCACTACAACTGGGAAAGTCACATTTTGTAAAAACTTTGTTCAATCGGTATTTCGTAATACAGGAGTGCAGAAGAAAACCAGACAATTAGTTACGGATGCCTCACACCTGTCCTTCAATGTAATTAAGCCCAAATTTTTTATATATTGTTTTATATTAAGTAATTAATCATTACACAGCCAGCTCTGCATTTTATAAAACTGCCTTTATGACCTGTAGTGCTCAACAAATTAAAGACCTTTTCAAAACCGCATAGAATGCAATGCATTACCTGTTTCATAGTCATACCAGTCAAAGTGTGACAGAAAATCACTGGGGATGGGAAGGCCTAGGATTACAGTATTTATAATTACAACCATTTTTCAGTACTTCCCAGCAGATAAAATTCATTACTTTAATGAGACCAGGATCCAGTGAAGTGACATAAAATGGTTGAATCAGCAGTAACACTGTTTGCTGTGGGTCTGTCTGATGGTGCTGACTGGAATTTCACAAAAAGGACATTTTCATACATAATTTTTTAAAAATAGAACTATAGTATCCTTTTTATTGCAAGAAAATGTCTTCTGGGTTTAAAGTCCCTGCCCACACATCCTGAATGCATTTCTGAAATAACCACACTGGTTTCATTTTATTGCTCTACTGATGAAAACCAAAACCAGTGGCTGTGTGGATGGTAGGAAAATGTATCTAAAAATGAAGCATAGCAAGAGCCACAATCCAAACCACTTGTAGTCTCTGATTATAGTAAAGGTTCATGTACTGTTGAGCAGTTTGTCTCTAAAGAAAAATCAGTTTTAAATGTGTATTTTAAACCATTGTAACAGTTGACTTAGGAAAACATGACTCATGAATAAATTTCTACTTGGTATATATCTTCAGGCTTTGCTACAAAACTCTGCCCTCAAACTCCTGCTAATATGGACCAATAGAGCCTCAGCATCCCTCATCCAACCTAACCCCCCTCTGCCCACATTGGTCCAAAAGGCCTTGAAGGTGCTACCCAGTCTGGACTGGACCTCAGGCAAATCTGCTAGAGCCACCTGCAACTTCTGGAGATCTTTGAGGAGGGCCATGCCCAACTGCACAGAGAAAAACTGGTTTTCCTCAGATCATGCTAATGATCTGCCTGTTACCAGTATACAGTATATTTATTGATTTTATGATAGTCTTACTGCAATATTAATAAAAACTATACTTGGAAGCAAGCGAAAGACATGAATGAACAAATGTGTTGAGGAAATCCCCATGGTGGAAGATAAATGATAATGTGCCCTTGTATGTAAGGTAGGGTGGAAATGTGAGTCACCCGTTGAACCAAAAATGACATTTCAGTTACGGTGAAAGTGTAAAAATAATGTACTTATGAACTCTCCCTTACAAAATATAAACAGAATGGATAGCAGATAATGCTAAAATCATATGCTATTAATTAAATGATTAGCTTTATGTGACTGTACATCAGTTTAAATATGACAAGTGTATGTTAAGTTATGGGGTGCTGTTAATCTTGTACTCTTACAGCAGACATGTCCGCAATAAACATTTGACACAACACATATCACTGAAATTTTTTATTTGACTGGCTTTTAAACATATATTCAGAGGAGTTCTGTTTGATAAAACGGGTTGAAGCAATACTGCAGATAATATTGTGATTCATTCGGGAATGTCTGCACAACATTCTGATAATCTACAGTCAAATTCCATGTTTAGACTTTTGATCAAGGGGATTTTCCAAGAGAGATTCAGGCACTGGAGAAGTCACTGAGGTACCATAGTTCTATAAATAGAAGAGTCATATTTCTGACGCGTGGACCTTCTGGTGTCAAAGCAACAATGAAAAGTTTGTAAATGTGCCTACTCATTGCTAACCTATATTTTAATCAGCCAAAAACCATTTTATATGACACAAATACCAACACCCTGGTATCTGTGTCATATTAAATGACTGATAGCTGTATGATTCTGGTCCTCACACAATTGTCAAATGTGAAACTATCAAATGTGAACACAGAAATCAACAGCCAGATTCCATATTGAGTAAACAAAACTAAAAATACTGCCACAAAGATCAGACAAACATAAAAAACAAATGACTGTCTAAGAGGTGGCACAGCTGGACAAACAGCTGTACATGCTGAGAAACTAAATGAAACTAAATCCATCAGTAAATCTGGTCTTTGCCTCATTTGCACACACTGCAACACACATTAATAACACCCATACTCCCATTTGTGGATTTAAAAATAAAACATCACACTTGTATGTACACTTTTACATAAATATTAGACAAGCAACAGTGAGAGCTTTCTTGGGACCACACCTCACCAGCTTCAGATAGGTGCAACCATGTCACAATAGGGGAATGAAGGCTCTGTAATGCTATATTTTCTCATTAGCCAGCAGAAGGCAACCGTAGCAAATGTGATGCAGTTTAAACAATATTCTGGCTTATTTGCTTTTCCCATCTCTTCACTGCCACATTCACCACATCTCACTTGGTACCCTCTTCTCCTACTGTAGCTATCGTCAGACGGTAGTGGTGAGAAGCCTAAATGTCAGAGTACTATAGAAGTATCCTAAAAGGCTTAAAGTATTCTTTAATGAATGTCCACAAAGCTGAGGTCATAAAAACTGAGGCTACAGTGAGGAATCATTTGAGCCTTCAAGAAATCTGACATGGTTTAACCTGTACAAAATTATCCATTAGTGACAAATGCTGTGGTAGGCATTTACTTTTTGTCTGATTGGGCCTTCAGCTTCCTCTCCCAAAGTTTTTGATGATCAGAGAAGCCCTGCTTGCCCTTGTTGAAGGAATTGGGTCCCGCAGATGTTGGTGTCTCCCTGAAAAAGAGAGCAGATTGGTCACTTCAAACTCAAAAAATAATATGTCTGATGAGGAGGTAAGTAAAAAAAAAAAAAAAAAAACTGAATGTGAAATGTAGTAATTAATTTACAAGATTCAAAGTCTCAATGGTTTGATAAAAACTAAAGCAGAGAAGAAAATTATAAAGTAGATCATGTAAACTGTATATGTGTATACACCTGCCAATGTTCTTCATCCTCATCTTTGCTTCTGGGGGCATCTCCTCAGGTTCACTCTGGATGGCAAGAGAAACTTACAGTCAGTCTCTACATATTTGTCATTTATGCAACCATGACATTTCCATGAGCATGCAGACTTACATCGTCATCCTCATTAAAAACAGATGCCAGCCCTGCCTTTTTTGGAGGAAGTGATGGTACAGGTTCTTTGGGTTTCTGGAATAGATTGAGGACACCAGATTTAGGGAAACAAAACAAACACATCCTAGCCTAGCAACATCACACTTCTTCACTTTATAAAGTGCAAAAATAAAAGCAAAAGAGAAGCTGCAAATGCTCATTTTTTGGTAAGTTTAATGGCTTTAATGATTAATGAAGCAGTGCTATCAATTAACTCATGAACAAATCCTGTTCAACACCATTGGGTATGAGGGTAACACTCAAATACTACATTGCAACTGTTCAGGATTTTGACCTGCATCCTTTTTGGGGCCTCTCTGAGCAATGTGTTATGATAATTATATAATTTAAGCATAGACTAGTATATAAGACCATATAGAACTTTTATACTGTGAAGACACATTTAAGTTACAATACAACGATTATTACAATTAGATAAAATATAAACCTCTCCCGTTTGTTTTTCACTGAATCCGTATATATCATTACACACTTACTGTTGCTCCAAGTTTGATAGATATGGGATTCGACTTCTTCCCCATCTGACCGCTCATGCTAAAGCCTGTTTTGAGGACTTTGCAGGGCGCTGGTGGATCTGTCAAGGACTCGTCTTCATCTTCAGGTGTGAGATGCTGGGATGTACGTTTGCCTGCGGTCCCTTCTCCTCCCACAGTACTACAAGAGACAGGCTTAGTTTTGACTCTGCCTTCCTCCTCCTGCGGCCCTGCTTGAGGCAAGACAACTCAGCAAGGTGAACAACTGTTTTCTGGGAACTGGAGAATAATAATAAAAGTTACCACCTTTACCTGCGTGGCTACGTTTCTAGCCATCAACGAAAATGTAATTTAGATGCCACACTTCAATTTAACGTACTGTCCACCTGGGGACGATATATGCAGAAACTACTTATAATATCTGGGTTTGCTATAATTTAGGAGTTATTTCCTTGGAAGTTATTCTGGTCATTGTTATATGCCCGCAAGGTCTGAAAACAAATAACTCATTTATGTGGTGTTAAACTACGCTAACTAGCTTAGGTTAGCTGTTTTCATATTAGCTAGGCTGACGCAATTGTTACTGGGCTAACAAGAGGTACTTCTGCAGTCATCATTTCTTTATTTCCTGGCATAACTTTAGCAGAGTACGTCAAACAGTCCAATTTCCACAGATAAATATGCAACGTCAATACAATGGTAAGTGTTAGCATTAGCGTTAACTAGCAGCGAGTACCATTGACGTTACGTGACTTATTGAAGTTTTACAAAGGTTTCCTCTGTCTAACGCTAGTTGTGGCCAGTTTTAATGAGCAGGAAGCAAAGCAGACCAACGTTAAGTAATGCTTGTTTTCAACATATTTTAGACGACAAAATAGCTCAAATATCACCTCCGTCGTCGTCGGAGCAGTCCCTTCTCTTATGTCTGTACTCCGCCATTACTTCAGTATCAAACCTGCCAGCGGGTGTCGCTAGTCTTCAGCCCTTTGTACCAGATGATCTTTATGCGCCGCATGAAGGAAAAAAAAAACAAGAACTAATTCTACGGCGGCAAGTCAACGTTTAAAATCCAGACAGTGAGAAAGGATTTCTTACTACCAAACCTTCAACATCAGCCGTAGGAATAGATGTACACATCTAATAGACTATTGTAATACCCTAGTTAACTGGGGTGGGGGTGGCGGCTCTGAGCTGAGGAGATGATCTCTACCTTGTCTTGAAGGAAACAAAGTAATACATAAAAGCATCTCATGAGTCAGCATAAATAGCAAAATGCAGATAGAAAATGAATGCGGATGTCCAGGTGAATCATGTTACAGGCATTACTGACAGCAGGTAAAGTCAGTTCAACCTCCCTGTGTGCCGCTGTCACGCAACTGTCAAGTTTCACAAAGATATACCTTCATTTGCTGCCGTAGTGACAGGCAATATCTGTCAAAACTCTGGGCACACTTTCACTTTGAATTTAAAAGGAAAATGTCTCAAGGCTTTTGACAGATAGTGTACGTTGTGACTATTTTTATCACAACACAGAAGTCAGACTTTTTCTGGCAGATGATCACTTTTGATACAGCAACATACTGTAGATGCAAAGTGTGGGCCAACATCATATTAAACCCTATGGATTAAGAATCGGTTGTTACACAAGTTAATTTGCATGTGAAGGCAGATGAGCGAATACTTTTGGCAATATAGTGTATATGCAGCTATTAAAACATATTTATCATATTATTTTTAAAACAATTAAACTGTTATGAATTTACATGCAACTAAATCATATTGTTAGGATAAATAAAAAATAAGTAGGCACATTTCGGAGACCTCCCTGAAATTTCATGTTTCCATTTATTTTACTCCACCCAGCTGACAGAGAGTAGATTATCTAGAGTTGTAGTCTTATTGCGTAGTGTGAACTGTATTGCTTTGGTCTGGTGAAAAGAGTAAACTGATTTTTTTTCTGCCTGCTTGTGTGTGTGTGTCCCTCCACTGTGGCCAGTCCACACAGGCACTATGCCACTCTTGGCTGAATATCAATTAGGCCTGTTTCCTGCACCTGTGTTGTGCAGCATTCTTGACAAATCATTCAAGAATTTTTTATATCTAACTGACAACCCACAACAACACAGATTATCAAGATCCTCCTCTAAGTAGCTCATTCCTAAACGTACACTCAGTGAAGATCAAAGCCTCTGCAGCCTGTTCTAGCAGGCAGAAGCTTGAGCATTGCCACAGCAATGTTCTTTATTGGTTTTTCAGGAATGAGGAAGTATGTGTGAGGCGGCATCTTTACGGGAAGGCAGTGAATGCGGGAGGGAGGGGCTAATGGGAATGCACGTGGGCGTGGAGGTTATGACAAATATTTGACAAGAAGAGCAGGATGGGATGAGAAGAAAGGCAAAGTGCAAAGGTGGAAACTTTAATTACATTGGGGGCTGCTGGGTAATCACATTTCTCATCTTCCTCACGCTGTGGTCTGTTTGTGTGTACTCACCCAGCCTTCAGATGATCACTGTTACTACTTGCAGCCTCTTGGTTTCAAGAAGTTTCACAATAACCGATATGATAGTTATTGTGAAAAGACATTTCATACCATTATAATTGACAACTGAAGGAGTATTCAAAATGGGAATTATTGTAGCTTGAGGCAAAGATACACTGTGTCCTCTTTCATAATGTCATGAAATGTTGCTAAAATATGTTCCAGCTGAAAGCACGTGAGTAGAGAAACACACACGCACACTGCAACGCAGCAAAAGCACAGTGTGTAGAAACACATACAGAAGCCAGCATGATTTACTGGTCAATGACGTTGTCATGTTTACACCAGGTTTGTACCAAGGTTGTGTTTTCTGTAAATAAATGGGAAGAACTGAGTCTCCTCAGTCTCTACCCTTCATTTGCACTAATATGCAACAGAGTGCAAATGTAGGACAAAGGTTGTGATTGTAATTTAACTTCCATATCAGGTGATGTGTTCATTTTCCACTCACGACAGAGAGGGACAGAAAGTGACCTTTCCTCTTATTGGACATGGCAGCAGCCAGCACAGTGAGCAATGTAGTGACTCAGCCAATAGGAATGCACCACTCCCCCCTGCATCTCCTGGAATCCTCACACAGGTTCTCACAGGGAGATGGGGAGTGTCCGGGTGGGGGGGTCCGGAAAGGACGATGTTCTACACATTGCTGCTAATCCATACGTTTCTTCATAATCCTTTCTGGTGACATTTTACTTATGGTCATGGAATTATGTTTTTTCTCTGTTCTTATGAGATTAACAGATTAGAAATCATCCAAAACTGAGTGGCACCTTTAGCAAAAACATTTTGTATACTCTCTAACAGCCTGTTTCCTTGATGTTGATCTGGCACCATGTTCAGTGACCCTTAACATAATTACAGGTTTAAGTGAGTCTCAAATTTAGCCCCACACAGATTTTCCCCACTAGAAATTTGAACCAGGTTAACCTGGTAACAGACCTGTTTGTTCAGCCTGGTCACGCCCTTAACCACAGGATTTAGCCTGTCAGGAACCAAATGCCAATGGTTAAGACAGGTAACGTTGACGATGCCACTGACTAACAGGGGAGCCCAGAGGAGTTTGTCTTGATTGTTTAGGCATCAGTGTAGGCAATACTATTGCTGCTAAGTCATACTCATGTATTTATTTATAAGGGAATAGTTTGACATTTTTGGAAATATACCTGTTTGCTTTCTTTTCAGGACTTATGAAAATCAATACCACTGTCACATAGCTGGGCAGACTGTGAATTTCAGACTGTTAACAATTTGGACATTACTTAATCTCGTACATTGAGGTAACTCACACCTCATGATTTAGTCAGCTTTTCTACATGGCCAGAACCTGCAGCATTTATGTTCACACAGTATGGACTAAGCGGTCCCAACATGGCTGCTTGCACTGAATGTTAAGCACAGAACCCCCGGTAGCTTTTGTCCATTGACAATTACAACAAGGTTTATTCACCCAAGATGGCTGTGTCCCAAAAAAAGCAAAATGGCAGCATTACTGCTCAGTTCTAATATGAAAGTAAATGGAAGATGCAGACAATCTGGTGTTTGCTCTGCATTCAAGTTGTTATAATTTTTTTAGTATATTACTTGTGTGGTGTAGAAGAGAATTATTTATGTAGAGATACTGCTTGCAAACCAGTGATGGTAAGATGATGTCATGGGGTAGGACTGGATAAGTCTGACTTCTTCCTACTCCATTCAAGCATGTACTAGGTATAAGCAAATTGATATTGGATTAGCATTTGTTGGATATGTGTAAAATTATGTGTGTTGACATATCAACTGTCTTTACATGCTTGAAAGAATAAATAAATAATAAAATAAAAGAATTAGGGTCATGGTTCACTTTTCAGAATCAACATTCTGTCTCCTAACTTTGAAACAAAATAGACTAGAGCAGACTTTAAATCTTACTAAATTCCATTACTAACGCATCTGATTCAACACATTAATGTCTATCATTTATCTAACTGATTTACTAATATCTAACACTATATAGAATGTAAAAATCTCAGTATGGTGTTACACATTGCGGTCATTTTGCGACACCATCCCACATTTAAAACCGAGGAAGAAGAAGAAGAAGAAGAAGCACCATACATTATATTCCTACGGCTCTATTATCGTTCCACACTCAAGCCAAAAAGGTCACGGGAATGCAACTTGGGTTGGCC